TGCTTCTTTTGTTAGATCGATTCCTAAGCATTTCATTTTTTTGAATGCTATTGTGAAAGATGTTGTTTCTCTAATTTCTCTCTCAGTGAGTTTGTTGTGTGTATACAGGAATGCTATTGATTTTTTATTACAATCTTAAAAAAACCAAAATGCAATATCCTAAAAAATCCAAACCTTATTATTGATACTAGTTCCTGCACATTTGCTGTGCTACCATACACATGAAAAAAATCATTAAATAGTTAAGACCATTAAACATAAAAACTTTAAAATCTAACTATAGTAGACCCTCAAAAAGCTATAACCTGAATTTTTAAAAACGTGCTTTTATACAAAGAATTATATAAGCTGTACAAAATCTGTACTTTTTTATACTTAATCTAATGTTGAGCTGCACTTGAATTCACATTCTCAGCAAAACACTTGCCTGAGCACACATATACTTCACATGCCATCACAGGACAGCCGCTTTTCTTCATCTTCATCTTCCTCCTCCCCGTCTTCCTCTTTCTTCTCCTCCTCCTCATCTTCTGGTTCATTCTTCCTTGATTCTGTTGGCCTGCCATGACCATTCTTTCCTCCTTCACTTCTTGTGCCCTTTGCCTGGTATGCAGCAATATCCTTTTCATATTTTTCTTTAGTTTACCTGCTTTTTGTTCATATGGTTTTTATCTTTGGCTGACGGCTCAGACCACATTTCACCCATTTTTTTTTTTTTTTTTTTTTTTGCAGCATCTCCAATGCACAGGCCTGGGTATTCACTTCTGATCTTTGGGTGATGTTCAGGGTAAAACAGGAAGAAGGAAAATGGTGGTATTTTGGGAGTATTAGGATTTTTCTTCTTTCCTCTCAGCAACTCCTTTGGGAGGCCCATAATGTTTAATTTCCCTGTCATAGTGAGATTTATCACTCTTTGCCATATCTTCAAACTTCATCTTTTCCTTGGCAGAATGACATTCCATCTCTCCAAGCACTTCTGGGAGAACTCAGCAAAGTTAACTGAGGAGTTGGGGTGCTTTTTCTTCTGCTCCTCATGTGGGGTATCCCTTGTCCATGGTGGTGTGACCTGGTGTGAGATTTTTCTCAGAGTCCCACGGAGAGGCCAAGTCTGACTAAGATGCTTCCTTCCTGGGGCTCTGGCATGAACCTATTTACTTTGCTATGGATTTTTGAGTGTTGACTTTGTATTGAGCTACATTACTAAATTTTCTTATTTTGGTAGAGATTTTGGAGTCTTCTATGTAGAGCATCATGTCATCTTTGAATAATGATAATTTAACTTCTTCTTTTCTTATCTTTATTCCTTTTATGTCTCTCTCTTGTGTAACTGCTCTACTGCTTCCAGAACTATATTGAATAAGCTTGGTGATAGTGGACATCCTTGTCTTGTTTCTGAATTTAGAGTGAAATATTTGAGTTTTTGTCTCTTTAGTATGATGCTGGCTGTTGATTTGTCATACATGGCTTTTATCATATTGAGCTAAAGATTATTCTGAGGTAAAGATTATTTTGTCAGGTTTTTTTTTTTTACATGAATGAGTGTTGGACTTTCTCAGAAGCTTTTTCTGCATTTATTGAGATGATCATGTTATTTTTGCCTTTGGTTCTGTTGATATGGTGTATTATGTTTATTGATTTGCTTTTGTTGAATCATCCCTGAATTCATGGAATGAATCCTAGCTGGTCATGTATAATCTTCTTGATGATTTACTACTATTTTAGTATTCTAGTATTTTATTGAGTATTTTTGTGTCTATGTTCATTAGGGAGATTCAATTTCTTTGCATTTACATACACGTGTTCTATGGGCTAGTATATAGTCTGTTTTAGAAAATGTCTCATATGCAGCAGAGGAGGTGTATTCTGATGTTGTTGGATGGAACACCAAATTTCTAAGCCCATTTTTTCACAGATATGATTCAGTTCTGTTATTTCTCTGCTGATTTTTTGTCTAGTTGGTCTATTTCTTTGTGACAATGGGTATTAAAGCCCCTCATTACAACTGTGTTATTGTTTATTTGGTTTTCATGTTTAGTAATATTTGTCTTATATTGTTGGGTGCTTCTGTATTTGGTACATATATATTTTGATTGTCTTCTCTCCCTCTTGAATTTTCCATTAGTATGTATATAGCGACCTTCTTTATCACTTTTGCTCATTCTTAGTTTGAAGTTGATGTTGTCTGCAAACAGAATAACTACTCCTGATTTTTTCTGTGTTCCTGTTACATGGAGCATTGTTTCCCATCCTTTGACTTTCAGTCTATGAGTTTCTTTTTGAGTTACATGTGTTTTTTGCATAAAACATATTGTTCAATCTTGTTTTTTGATCCATTCTGTAAGTTTGTTTCTTCTGATTGGTGAACTGAGGATGTTTACATTTAATAGTTATAACTGATATGTATTGACTTATCTTTGTCATGTTATTTTTCTATTGTTGGTTCCATACTTTACCCCTGTTTGATTGCTTGCTGATTGGTGGTTTCTGTTGGTTATTCCTGGAATTGTGGTCACTTTTATCTCTATCTAGTATGTCTTTTAATACTCTTTCTAGGGTTGGTTTGGTAGCCATAATTACTTCAGTTGTTCTTTGTTATTGAAGTATCTTATTTCTCCATTAATTTTGAAAGACAATTTTGCAGGGTACATCAATTCAATCTGAGTTGGAAGCTGTTTTCTTTCAGAACTTGAAATTCTTCACTCCAAGCTCTTTTTGACTATAGAGTTTGTATTGAGAAGTCTGGCATGATTCTGATGAACTTTCATTATAGGTGTTCTGAGTTTTTTTCTCTAACAACTTTTAATATTTTGTTCTTGTTTCTGAATTTCTGGGACCTTGATTTTTATATGTCTGTGTGTAGATTTATTTTGATTATAGCTAATTCAAGTTTTATATGCCTCACTTATCTGTATGTCATTTTCTTTCTCCATACTTTGAAAATTTTCTATTAGTTCTGCAAAATTTGTTTGTGTCATTTGTGTTGGCTCTTACTTTTTCATTGACATCAATTATTCGTATATTATTTTTCTTTGCATTGTCTTTCAACTGTTAATTTTTTTAATAGGAAATCAACAATGGCCACCATAATATATTTTGGTATCTTCACAATAATTGTCCATACCATCAGGCATATCAAAACGAAACCAAACAAAACAGAACAAGACTAGTCAAAACATAACACCGAATAAAACAAAACAGTAAATCAGAACAAAACAAAACAGTGAGAACAATACTGCACATTGTTTTCTTCAAAATAGTCACTCAGGTTAGGAGACACAGGATAAAATAAAACAGTAAAGTGGAACAAAACATTGGATTTCAAAAACAAGACAGGGAGCAATCCCCTATAGTTGACACAATGAACACTGCCATCCTCCCAGTAGATGCCTAGACCACCAGTCCCAGGCCCGCAGAGTCAACCAAACAATACAAGGACAATGCTATTCCCTTCCCCTAGTTGCTATCATCTCACTCTGAGTCCTGCAAATCAGTGTGGGGGTGGAGTGCTCTTCTGGTTTTACAGCCTGTGCGTACCAGCTGGCTCATGGCTTCTCTTCTAGGTGAGGCTCCTTCTGATCAGCATGGCAGAGCTTGCTTCATGGGAAAGCATGGTTTTTCTTCTGGTTGAGGGTCTTAGCAATCAGCATGGTGGGGCTTGCTTCATGGAAAGACCCAAGACTTTTTTAAAAATTTTATTTTGAAAGTAGTAAAAATGTAACAGCACAAGACAGAACAAAGCTAATCAAGACAATGCAGTGAAATTGGTACGGGATTTCACAGTAGGATACTGGGAGAGTAGTAATAGGTACTATGGTATATCTCTTTAACTTCACAATAGTTGTTCAGTCAATTAGGTATAGCAAAATCAAACCAAATATAGAACATTATAAAACCAATTGAGAGTACTGAATAGAGCAAAAGAAACATAACAAAACAAAACAGTGAAAACAACCTTTGCTTTCAAACAGAAGATAGAAGGAAATCCCCCATATTTGCTATACTGCATATGGTCATCCTCCCAAGAGATGCTGAGACAACTATCCCCAGTAGCTCTGAGGGGGAGAGAGGGGGAAGAGTGCTTGATTTTCAGCCTGTGTGGCAGTAGGCTCACAGGTAATGGTTCTCTTCCTGGCCCAGGCTGCAGGTGCTTACCAAGAAGCAGAAGAATAAGCTGCCTGAGTCCCACCATGGTCATTCTCGCAAGTGCTGGTTATCCTCCTGGCCTTCGCTGGGGTGCTTACCAAGAGGGTGGGTGAATAAGCTGCCTGAGTCCCACCATGGCCAGATCTCAGGAGCGCTGGTTCTCCTCCTGGCCCACGCCACCAGTGCTTACCAAGAGGGCGCATGAATAAGCTGCTTGAGTTCCACCATGGCCTGATCTCGGGAGCGCTGGCTCTCCTCCAGGCCCAGGCTGCAGGCGCTTACCAAGAGGGTGGGTGAATAAGTTGCCTGAATCCCACCATGGCTGGATCTCAGGAGTTCCGATTTTCCTCCTGTCCCACAACTGTTGATTGTTATTTGCTAATCTTTTGTTATTTTCAAGAGATCTTTCCTTTCATGAGCACTACTTGTGATCCTTCCTCAAGGTCTGAAAGTCTGTCTTCAGTTTCATTCTAACAGTTTTGCCAGATTTCAATGGAATTTTTAAATTTCCTGGGCATCTATTTGAATTTGTCTCATGCATTCCATTTCTTTTCTATATTTATCAATCACAGTTTCCATTCTTTCCCTATCATCATCTGTTTGTACCCTAGATTTGCTGAGCAAGTTCTTTATAAATGTTGACATATCTTTTTTTTTACCTGAGATATTATTTCTGATATGATTTCCTCTATTGAATCATGAATTTGTTTCTTTAGCTTCTATCATTTGAGAAATTTCAGATGTGTGTCTTCTAATTTATTCTATGTTGATGTCTGCTGGAATTGTTCTAGATAGGCTGGAGGTCTGAGGTTGCATTTTTTTCTGAGTCTTCATTTTCTATTTAAGAAATTTTTATTTTTTTTCTATGTTGATTCTTGTAAGTTTTTTGCAATAGGTAGTAGCTGTGTTGGTTACTTTTCTCTCATTACTGAGACAAAATATTCAACACCCAAAATTAAGAGAGGAAAGGGTTAATTAGCTCACAGTTTGTGTAAGTTTCAGTCCATAATCAGCTGGCTCCAAGGCAGGGTGGCATGGCACAGGAGCAAAACTTCAAGGTGGCACAAAACAGCAAAAGCTGCAAGAGAAAAAGGAGAGTGAGAGCAAGCCTTTTTTCCTTCCCTTATATTGTAAGCAGGCTACTGCTCCCTACAGTGGGTGTAGCACTCACACTGTCTTCTGTGCTTTGCTCTTGCCCTTACCCTGGTCACCTGCTGAGTCACTTCATCAAACTTCTAAGTTTCTCAAGTTGACACAGTACATCAACTATTACAGTAGCTATATCACTATTTTCAAGTCCTTTCCAGCAAAATTCTGTTCCTCAGGGATATCTTTTGTGTGCACAAAGTTCTTGGCTTGTGTCTGTTCCAAGATTCTACCTTCCCAGTTAATTAAGAGTAAGATATTGTTATCTGTTTGGCTTAGTTCCCAGTTCTTTGGTTCTGGGCTGTGGTGAGGACCCCAGTGAGAACCCTGGGACTTCCTACTTTTGTTATAGAAAGGAGAACAACTGATTACAACAGATATGACATCCTCTTTAAAGTAGTATAATTAGCAATAACAAAGGCATCAACCACAAATTAGAAACTAACAAATTATCCTAGTGTTAACTTTGCACCTTAAACCATAGGAGCAAAATTTAAAATTTTATAACAGAACCAGTTGTAAACTGGGAGCTTGTATTCAAAGTGTTTCCCCTTGGTAGAGTGGTTTTACCCTGTGGAGTGGAGAAAGCAAAGATCACTGAAAAGAATGAAAAGAAAGTAGAAGCAAGGCTGGAGGACAAAAGATGATCATGCAAACTAGTTTCCTTGGGAAACTAGACAAGTAGGCAGAAGAGAAAAAAATGAGAGAATAAGCAAGGGATTATGGAACTTGGTCTCTGGGTTTGGGGAGTGGAATTAGTGTTCTGTCATTAGAGTTCCCCCCAGCTATTTAGAAAAGAGAGGAAAAAGAAAAGAAGAAAAAGAAAAGGGAAAAAAGAAAGAAAAAACAAAGCAAAACAACAAGAACAAAAGAACCCCCCTGCTTCTGCTTGGTGTGTGTTTGCCCTCAAATACAGTGCTGTTTCACCTCACCTGTTGGCTTGTATTGTTATTGTCGCTTTGTACTTTTCACATCACTGTCCCCACCTGTCCAAGCTGTGCACCCTGCTGGGATCCTACTGTGCCACTGTGTTCCCTCTGGTCTCTGGGTCTCCCGGGCAGTTCGCCTGAGTCGCAGCTGCAGTCATGGCAGTGGGAGGCCCTACACTATCACTTGGGTCCTGGCGGTGGAGGAGGTGCTGGGAGGAGCTCACATCATTCACCTGGGTTGCATGGTTCCATAAGCATCTTTTAATGAGAAAATCTTATTGTTTTATCTATAGAAAACTTAACCTTTTGATGGTAACCAATGTAAACATAGCATAATAATATGTTTAGCAATATTTATTAGCTGTGTCTACCATAAGGCTATGGAAACTATTGGAGATCCATTAGTTTTTTAAGGTGGTATTTTAAAGAGTGGAGTGACATTTTTAGGTGACTGTTCTTTTAATTTACCAAGAGGAGTGTTGTCCAACAGCTTTTTTAAAGTCTAAGGGTCCCCATTTAATTATCTTAAAATTTTTTGATGGTCTATGGGATCATAATAATTAATATATTATTTCTGACTAATGAAAGTCAGACATAGTCAATAATATGTATTATATTTGTAAAACCAATCTTGACATCATTTGATCATCTGGCAACTTAGGTGAAAGCATGTCTTTAATTTGAATGACATTTACTTATAACCAATTATAATTAGACAGACAACAGATGGACAACAAACACAAAAGATTTTTAAAAAGACCAGAGTGTACTCCTGGATATTTGACCAATTTGAATTATAATAATTCTTTTACATAAGACTAGTTAGAACTTTGTCTGTTAACAAAGATCTTTTATAATAAGAATTAGAAAGAATAAAAACCTTTTACCTATAATCAACATTTTCTCTGTATTTTATTTTGTCTTAAGAATTTTGGCAACTCAGTTCTCTCTTCCTTCATTTAATCTCTGGCTCTGTCACCCCTATATGTTCTGTTACCTACTCAGACATTGTTTTTCTTCTAACAGCAATTGTCAGATCCCTCTCTAAAAGACCTGACATAGTTTGGGTTAACACTGAACTTTTATAAGATTTGGCTTTTACATTTTGATAAGCTTTTAGATAAGTAAAAAGATTTTTTTGGTGGCCTTGACTGCCCCAAGTGCCTGTTTGTTATCTTTATTTATATTCTTAAAAACAAACTGAAGCATGATAATTTTTGCTGCTTGTGAATGAGGATTCCCTCCTGTGTAGCTAGGACGACAGGCATATGATACTATGCATGCACAGCATGATCAAGGAAAGCAGAGAATGGTAAGCTGCTTCTTTGCTATATGGCTCCACCACTGTCCCACTGGCATTGCTGCAGGAATTAGCAAGGCTGGTGACAGGCAGTGGACCTGGAAGTTATGAATCGGAGCACACAACCTGTGGTGCCACCACGACCAACATGCTGTTCTCATAAAGCAGAGATTCAGGCTCCTTATAATTTTCCCAGAAGCTCAAATTCACAACCTCACCATTGCTAGCACATGCACCTGCCTCTAAAAGTTCTGAGGTGCAGGCCAAAGAATTTCTTCAAAAGCATCATTCAACTATGGGGACCAACAGTGTGGTGGGTGGCTTTTGTTTTTCTTTATATTATTCTCTCTAGTGCTGTTCTGGAACAGGAACTTCGGGAATGATAGTACTTAACAGACCCAAAACAGATTTTATAATAGATTGTAAAACAGGTCCCAAGCTGAAAAGTTCTCCAGGTTAACAGTTTCTTTTCTGTCATGAGCTCTCTTTAAATTTTTCCTTGCTGTATTCCAGTTTTCAGTGTTCAAGGTTTCTGTTTGAAAACCATGGATTATACTTAACAATTTCAAGTACCGTGTTTGTCAGCAGGTGGGTACTGATTCAAGCTCTAATAACTGTACGTATCTTTGTTCTTTCACTGACAAATTCTGCCCCATTATCCCAGCTAACTAAAAACTTTCCATCGTGCCAAGTGCTTACTTTTTCACTTTGGCCTGGATGTCTCCAAATGTGTCCCACCAAGTGCTCTTACCATCTCACATCCTCTTCTTTCCGCTCTGGTGGGTCTTTCTTCTCAGGCCTAATTAGGATATCCCTATTTAGGAGTCAGTTGTTGGGGAACTGGCCAAGATCCCCAACTGCCTGTGTGAGGATACAGTGAAGGATGAAAAAGAAACAAAGTTAACAATGCATACAAGAAGGACTGGGAGGTCAGTGCCTCAGGATGATCAAAGAACAAGACCACTTTGGCTGGCCCACTGTTTGTTGAGCAGAAACACACATTTTCAGAGGGGGCAGTGTGCTTTTCCTGTGTTTTTCCAATTGCTTTGGGCTAGAAAAAAGAACAAAACATTCCTGCAAGAATGAGACAAGGGTCAATACTGACGGAAACTGTTTTTTCCCCCCAAACTTTTACTACTGCTTTAAAGATCTTTGTTGTCCTCAGCAAGTCTTATTTTGCCCCATGAGAGCCACAGCATCCTTACCTGTAGGGCTTCAGCTGTGGCTGGGAGAGAGCAGGGAGTTTCCACATTCAAATCTGGCGAACAGGGCAGGACAAGGATGTCCTGGGACATCCTCTAGGCTGAATTTATAATTTGTGGTCCCCAAGAGTGAGATGATACTCCACAGTGGTTTTGATTTTCAATTCCCTGATGATTAGTGATGTTGAGCATTTTTTTAATATCCTTATTGGCCATCTCTATATCCTTTCTTTTTTTTTGTCTTTTTCCTTTTTATCAGTACCAGGATTTGAACTCACGACTGCCTGCTTGCAAGGCAGGCACTTATGCCGCTGAGCTAAATCCCCAGCCCCATCTATATCCTTTTTTTGAGAAATGTCTGTTCATATCATTTGCCTGTTTTTAAAAATATGTTTAAAAAATTTTAAATAAAAGAATAAAAACAATGATACAGAATTTCAAAACAAACTAATAGGAGATTAACAATAGTTAATATATTGTGTATTGTTATCTGTAAAGTAGTTGCTCAGATTACAAGATACAGGCATGGAAAAAATGATCAAATAATGAAAGAAAAAACCATTCTTTTAGATGAACTAACAGAGATTAGTAGTATAATTATCTGTCATATATCTATATTATGGTAGATAATTATACATATCATCTTTTCCACTCTTTCTTTTATCCTTTCCTCCATTCCAGTTATTTTTTCCTTTTGAGCAGTTGTTTCCCCTTTCACTTGCACAATAGCTGTTGTACATTTTGGATTTTATTTACTCTTTCAGTTTTTTACCCTAGGGAGACAATATGATGTTTGCACATGAAAATCTCATTTATTTCACTTATGAATATGATCTTACACTGCATCCATTCACTTATAAAAGACTTGTGTTTATCCTTTTTTGTAGATGAGTAGTATACCACTGTATAAACATACCACATCTTTTTTTGTCCATTCCTCAGTTGATGGACATTTGAGTTGTTTCCAAGATTTTTTTTTTCTTTTTTTTTGGCTTTTTCGTTTTTACCAGTACCAGGGATCGAACTCACGACTGCCTGCTTTCGAGGCAGGCGCTTATGCTGTTGAGCTAAATCCCCAGCCCCGAGTTGTTTCCAAGATTTAGATATGACAAATTGTGTTGCTATAAACATGGGTGTACATATTGTTTTTTTTTTTTATTTTGAAGGCAGTATAGCACAACAAAACAAGACAGAACAAAGCCAATTGAGACAATGCAGTGAAATTGGTACAGAACTTCAGAGCAGGATACCAGGATAATATTTAATAGGTCTTATAAGATAACATATACGATGGTACCTATTACTGGGGGCTGTGGGAAAAAAGGAATCTTTCTTCACTGTTGGTAGGAGTATAGAGTTGTACAAACACTGCAGAAATCAGTAACAACAATAGTTGTCCATTCAATCAGGTATAGCTAAATCAAACCAAAAATAGAACATTATAAAACCTATCAAAACAGAATATTGAATAGAGCAAAGCAATTAATCAGAACAAAGCAAAACAGTGAAAACAGTATTTGCTTTCAAAGAGAAAATAGAAGGAAACTCTCCATGTTTGCTATATTGCATATGGTCATCCTCCCAAGAGATGATCAGACCTCTGGCCCCATGGCCGGAATAATCAACCAAACCATGCAAGCATTTAGTTGCTTTATGTGCCTTAGTTGCTATCAACTCTGGCTGTCCTCAACACCATCCAGTTGCTAAATGTGTGTGTGTGTGTGTGTGTGTGTGTGTGTGTGTGTGATGGGACATTTGATTCTCAGCCCGCTAGCCGGTAGGCTCATGGGAGACACTGACTTGTTCTTTCCCTGGTCTCCTGCTGCTCATTTGCACGACTGCTGCTTACCAGGAGGGAGGCTCACTGCTTTCTCACTCAGGCCCCCAAGTTCCAACATGCGGTGCACGTATCTTGCTATGATATGATGTTTTCAATTCTTCTGGGAAAATACCCAGAAGGGAATAGCTGGATTGATTGGATCACCAATCCTAGTTTTTTGGCAGATCTCCACACTGATTTTTACAGTGTTTGTACAACTCTATACTCCTACCAACACTGGAGAAAGATTCCTTTTCTCTCACAGCTCCACTAGTATTTGTTACTGGTTGATTTCTTGATGATACCCACTCTGTCTGGGGTAAGATGGTACCTCAGTGTTTTTTTAATTTGCATTTCTCAAATGACCAGTGGTGTTGAACTTTTAAATATATATTTATTTGCCATTTGTATATCTTCATCTGAGAAGTGCATGTTCATCTCAGATGCCCATTTTTGGATTGAGTCTTTGAATTTAGAGGTCCTGACATTTTTCAATTCTTTATATATTCTAAAAAGAAGTCCTTTGTCTAAGGGACTGTTGTCTAAAATTTTTTCCCACTCTGTGGGTTGTCTTTTCAGTTTGTTGGTGATTTTGATGTGTGAAAATTTTTAATAAGATGAGATCCCATTTGTTGATTCTTTGAAGTATTTCCTATGCAGTTTGGGTTCATGAACTCCCTGCCTACTGCTGTAATAAACCCAACAATACAAGACAAGGTAGGTAGAAGTATTCCCAGAAGAGCTGAAAACATCATATTCTGCCTACCTTGTCTTCCAGTAGATTTAGTGTTTTTGTTTTGTTTATTTATTTATTTTAAAGACAGTGAACAACACAGAATAAAACAGATCAGAAGTAAATAGTGTAAGAGTGACACAGATTTCAAAGCAAGACAACAGGAGATCAATAGTGGCTACCATAATTTTTCTTGTTTTCTTCTAAATAGTTGCCTATATCTTTACACACAATGAATTCATACCAAAAAAAGTATAAAACTGATCAAAACAGAATAATGAAGGCATTACAGGCATTCAAAATCAGACAATAGGAAAATCAACCATGGCTGCCATAATGTCTCTTGTTCTCATCAAAATAGCTTCATGCCTTCATGTACGCTGAAATTAAATAATACAAAATAAACTAAAACCACTCTAAACAAAGAATAAAAGCGTTACTGGATTTCACAGCATAATGATAGGAAATCAGCAATGGATATCATAATGTTTCTTTTTCTTCAAAGTAGGTGTTCAATTCAGCATGCAAAATATAATTGATTCTCATAAATTGTTTAGGAGTTTAGGCTTGTATAAGCCTCTCCGTGTACATCTATCCTTTCTGCACTAGAGGGAAAAACAAAACAAAACAAATTACTAGAAAAATAAGAAACAAAAAACCCCCAAACAAATAATAGTAGCAAGGAGCACAAAACAATGATGATATAGGCCTTCAAAACAAGGTGATAGGATCAGAATTTTCTTTCTTTCTTTCTTTTTTTGTACTGGGGATCGAACTTATGACCTAGTGCTTACTTGCCAGGCAGGAGCTTATGCCACTGAGCTAAATCTCCAGCCTGATAGGTTCAGAATTAAGGTTATTATTTTACATAGTGAGTCTTCAAAAGAGTTCCTCAGATCACCAGGCACAAACACACAAAATTATTCCAACCCTAAAATGTTAACTGTTTTGTTTCAATAACCAATAGAATTTGTAGCACAATCATCTTAGCTATCTTGTGTGTTTATACAAATTTAGATATTTTTTCTTTTCCCTTCTTTTTTTTTTTCCTTTTCCTTGAGATATTATTTTTTCCCGTTTGAGCAGATTTTTTTTTGGTCTTTTTCATTTTTATCGGTACCGGGGATTGAACTCATGACCGCCTGCTTGCAAGGCAGGTGCTTGTGCCGCTGAGCTAAACCTCCAGCCCCTTGAGCAGATTTTTATCTTGTCACAGTATTTATTGAGGATTTTGCATCTTATGTATTCATACCACTTCTTACACTAGGGAGACAATATGGTATTTACACATGTGAGTTTGATTTATTTCACTTATGAGTATGGTCTCAAGTTGCATCCATTTACTTATAAAAATCTCAATGTGATCATTCTTTATAGCTGAGTAGTACTCCGTTGTATAAAAGTACCACATCTTTTTTATCCATTCCTGTTGATGGACATTCAGGTTGTTTCCAAGATCTGGCTATTACAAATTGTGCTGCTATAAACATGGGTGCACATATATCACTGTGATATGATGTTTTCAATTCTTCTGGGAATATGTCTAGAAGTGGAATAGTTGGGTAAAATGGGACTTCCGATCCCAGCTTTTTGAAGAAACTAAAGACTGATTTACACAGTGGTTGCACCATTCTACACTCCCACCAACAGTGCAGGAGAGTTCCCTTTTCCCCACAGCCTCTCCAGCATTTGTTGTTGGTAGTTTTCTTGATCCTGGCCATTCTTTCAGGAGTGAGATGGAATCTCAGCATGGTTTTAATTTGCATTTCTCTAATGAGTAATGATGATGTACATTTTTTCATGTATTTGTGTGCCATTTGTATTTCTTCATCTGAGAACTGAGTATTCATCTCAGATGCCCCTTTTGCATTGGGTCTTTGAATTTCAGAGGTCTGATTCTTTTTAATTCTTTATATGTTTTAGACAGAAATGCTTTGTCTGAGGGACAGTTCACTATGATTTTTTTCTCAGTTTGTGGTTTTTCTTTTCACTATGCTGGAGGTTTCTTTTTTGATGTGCAGAAACTTTTTAATAAGAGGTGATTCTGGGAAGTATTTCCCATGCGATTTGATCCTTGTTCATGAATTCTCTACCTACCTGTCTTCAA